GAGCCTACCTCCAAAAGTTTACTAGAAGAGGTTGTTTTGATGCCCAATATCTTCAAATTTATCATCTCGACATCAAGATGTATGGACATAAAAAAAAATAGATTTCAAGTTCTGAAAATAGAGTATTTTATAATGCATTTTTAGACCGTCAATTTTCAAGTTTTCATAGATCTGTAGATCTACCCTATTTTTGAAGCTTTGAACTTTATAAATAAATATAAAAATGTATTTTAAGACTATCACAAATATTTTCAATAGTAAAACCACATTTCTGAACACTATTTGAAGGTAGGCTCTAATTTGATTATTTAGAGCCTATGATCTATACAAACCGCACTTATATATATACACACACATACACACTTTTTATATAATGAGATCATAATCATTAAATGTAAAATCAGATGAATGGAGAGAGATAGAGAAGAGACAATGACCACTAGAAAGTAAAATGACCTTTTCTTTTTGTGCAATTATGTAAATTCTCAAGGTTCTCAAATCTCAATTAACTTTAGGGTTTTGTGATAAGCTTTTTGTTGCTTTTCTAAGGCTGCAGCTTTACAAGAATTGCTAAAGCCATACCCTAAAAATTCCTTTGGGATAAGTATATGTAGCACAAAAAAACTTGATAGGGTTGCAGCCCTATCAAAATAAGTAAAGCCTCACCTAACTCATTGAATTAGTTATGGTATTGGAAAACGTTCAAATCGATCATTTCGGCCATGATTATAATGGCTGTAAAAGAACATTAGATTTCAAGCCCTAAAATAGTGTGTATGGTAACGCATTATTGGAACTGTCTACTTCAGTCTAAAAATAAGTATTCATAGATCTACAAGATTTGTACCATTTTTTGAGATTCGAATTTCATAATCGATGTTGAAAATTGATTATCATGGAGGTTTTTAAGCCCAAATTGCTATCAGTATGAGGAATCGAGTTGAGGCTTTACTTTGTTTTCATAGAGCTTAGGCTTTATTGAAACTGCATCCTAAATCTATTTAAACCTTTCATCATAGAATTTAAAGCTCTTAAAATAGTGAAATTGGTAAATTTGTGAAGATTGGAATATATAGTATTGACTATTTTTAAAACTTGTTTTTCTTTAAATTTATGATCCTTGAAGTGAAGATAATTGATTTGCAAGTTTTTTAGTGCCACAACTATCTTGTCCACTCAGATGCAGCAACAACAATAAGAGATTTTTTAGGTAAGTCAGTGAGAGAGAAGACCCCCCGTTTTTCATTAATAAGTAATAAATATAAAGTTTACAACTCATTACTGTAAAACCCTAGAATATGGCATATGTGCCAAATCATGAGTTAAAACAAGGCAAATAAAATCTAGCAAACGAGAACGCCAAATAGTAGGTCCTTGATAAGATGTAGCCCTTTTGCAAGAATAAACCACCATATTAGCTTCAGGAAAGATGTGGGAATGGACCACCCACGCTTAGAAAGATGTTGTCGACAATTTACTGCCACCGTATGTAACTTTCATGGAGGTCGGTAGCGTTAATGAATAACATTAATAAGCAATACTGAGTCACTTTCAATCTGAATAGAGTAGCATTGTAGCTGATCAGTTAGGAATAATCTTTCTTCCAAAGTAGAAAATTCTGCATAATTATTAGAAGCGATTCCAAAAGGTTTGGCAAATGCTGCAATAAAAGCACCACTAGAATTCCTAATAACATTACCCCCTTGCTTGACCTAGGTTATGCAAGGAAGCCCCATCAATGTTTATCTTGAAGTGATTAGGGCTAGGAAATGCCCATGCTACTAGAATAGTAATTTTATCCCTCTATTGGTACCATTTGAACTGTAAGTTATCAATGATCGCCTCTTCTGACAAATGAAATCTCCAGGATTTAGCATAAGCTAACTCCCGAACATGAAAAATTGTATGTCTGACTAATTGTTCCCTGCTGGTCAACTTATGCTGGAAAACTCTTCGCTTGTGTTCTGCCCATAAGAACCATATTGATGTAAAGAATAAA